AAAAATGTTTGTTGGTACATTTATTGAATTGTATATTTTATTGAATTGAATTATACAGTAACTTAGGGAACTGACAATTTTATGGTATTGAGTCATCCTATCCAAGAACAGGGAATTTTCTTTTATACAGTATGTTCAAATCTACTTCTGTGCCTTTTAAGAGAACTTCGTTCATACATACAAAACCATTTATGTGCAGATTAACCAATCAAAGACATAAACTAAACTTACACATATGTCCAACCCATACCGATTTCAGATATATTCTAAGACCCAGGGTGCAACAGAAATCCATGAATGGGCTCCAAGACCATGATGTATAGCATAAATTACATGTAAAGTTTTATGTGGTGTGTAGTTTAAACTGAATTTTTATTTTGTACTGTTTTCTCTAAGAGGTCATTATAATTTTTCTCCACATTCTTATCCAGATACAAACTTTATAGAATGTGAGACTCCCCAACAACAGCAATCCTACACATTTACAAAGAAAGCACCAATACACATATGATTATGTGTGCCTGTGTACCTTCAAATCTGATGAATCAAGCAGCACATAATTCTTCTCCGCCCAGAATTGGGCTAAGCAAAACGACAGAAGGGGATATAAAAATGATCCTTTTACTCAAAAAATCTACCAATGATTTGGAACAAAAATCTAAAACTCTAAAATCAAATCAAGAACCATAAATGTCACCTACAATCCAGTTCAACACGGAATTCAATAAAGAAGAGATCAGCACTTGTCAGAATACCCTGTCTGCATAAAGATGCCTTAAATGTAGCTTTCCAGTTTGCATGTTTCCCACTCTATGATAGTAAGATTATTCATTTTTGTTTGTTGGATTATAGTACCAAGAGTCTTTAGGTAATGTGCCCCCTCTTACCCCACGGCACAAATTCTTCCATATCACAAATTTTGACACTCCTGGCAACTTCATCCCCAAACTTTACCTCTATCTGAAAACTAAGAACACGAAGTCATTAAGTAAAGTCTTATCAGTACAAAGGATCACTCAACAAGTGATAAAACCTAAAATATATTGCTTTAAATTAATTACCTAATATGAAAACTTACCCATATGAAATTTTTCTTATTTTAAAAAAAAAAACAAAAGCAAAACTACACTGTGAGCGCCATCTCCTGGGGAGTTCATGACAATCTGGGACGTGTCCTCCCTCACTACCTCACATAGTATTTCTCTTTTATGCTTTATTTTATGTATTTGTTCATTTACTTATTACAATTTGCCCATAATAGAATTAAGGCAGCTTCCAAAATAAGCAAATAATATAAAACACTACTTTTAAAACCATGATAATCAGAGAAATATACACTGGAAAGGAAGGTATGGGACAAGAAGCAGAAATTAAATACTGATACTCAGGGTTTCCACAGGGCAGCAAAAAAGGGGCTATACATTTAGTAAAGGATTTTGGGAGGGTTGAATAATTAGTTTATTTTGTTATACATTAAGCTTGAGTTGTCTGTAAGACATGTGTGAGAAACTGTCAAGTATGGAGCTGAATAGACAGCCCTAAAACTCACGAAAGATATGTTGGAGAGACAGATTTGAAGCTGATCAGCATGTGGTCACTGAAGTGCTGGGCCCCAAGGGATTTCCCAGAGTGAGGAAGACATGAAGCCCAGCACAGAACCCTGAGGGAG